CACACACACACACACACACACACACACACACACACGCAGTCACAGAACAGTGTTCTTCTTGTCTGACTTAGACCAAGTGAAGATTTAAAGAGGTTTAAAGATCATCCCTACCTTTTGTCTAAACTACAGCACTGAGCTGGGGTTTAAACCCTATTTGTATTTCTGTAAAGCCTGCTCCCATGCGTCAGGAACCACAGTGTGAGACTGACAAGCAGGCAGACATAGAAAACAGAGCTGGTTTAACTAACATGCTTCATGTGAGAGCACAGTGAGGGAGTACATAATTGGAAAAAGCCCATTTGCCGTTAAAAACCTATAGCCGGGGAAAATAAGACATGTGAAAGGGTCATACCAACACACTACTCCCATGTATTTTGCACTCCAATCTGATTGCACAAAACAACTACATTTTGTAGGCTACAGCACAGTGATGGGCTTTGCGGTTCCTTTCACCAACACTGACACTAAAAAATGACGTCAGATTGGTCTGGCAGAGCTATAGTATTCACTGAATGACAGCAATCGTGAATGTATTATTTTCGTTGCAGGAAAGCATGAGATATGGCCAGCATTAGTTGACAGTGAAAAGAACAATAACAGATTGCTCAATACTAACCATATTAATTTTTATTAAAAATCTAAATTTTAATCCATCTGATGTTTTTTGGATGGGTGGAGCATATTTTAAATCATGCAGGATCTGCTGTGTTCATCACTTAAAGCTCCACTCTGCTGCTGCCTATTTCTCTCCATCTTTCTTCCTTCACTTTCCCAGTCTGACCACCCTCTCTCTCTTTTGCCCTGCCAATTATCCCTCTGCGCCCATTATACACTCTCGCCATCTCTTTGCCTGGCCCTTTATCTTTATCAGTACTGCCGCCACCTATCAATTAGCCGTCTCTAGGGAAACAGTAATTACCTGTGCACATGTGTTCTGCATACAATTAACGCATCCCCTTTAATTAACACCACCTTGCTGATCCCCTGCCGTGTGACTGATCACATTGGCACGCACCAAAAAAAACCCCTGCTGACCTGCCACACGCAAAGCCACACACACACACACACAACGAAACTCATAACACAACCGGACACACAATGGATAACAATAACTAATTTTTAGAGCTCTTTTTCTCCCTTTCTGTCTCACAGGCCACCACACACACAAACACACACAATGTAATTTATAGAGCCCGACCAATATGTATGCCAGTATCAGTTGTTTGGTGATATATAAATAAAGAAGGCAGAGAAGAAATGCCCATCAACTGTGTTATGAGTGTTGCCATTGGATAGTTTTTCCATCATCTTCCCTGTTGGGAATACTTGTTCCAAATGCCACAAAATCAACAACAAGCTAAATTTTTGTGATGATGTCACTGATCATGCTACTGAAGCCAATGCATGAGTGCCAATATCTGCAGTTCTGCAACTTTCAAATTCAGGTTGATACCAAAGTGAGTCAATCTCCTTAACGTCCAGTGTTAAAATACCCAATTTTAACACTGGAATAAACACATTCACAGACTTCTACTTCGGGTTTCTATCACTCATTTCCCCCTTCATAATAACTGCAATTACCTAACAAAAAAGATGCCTTTCTGTGTGCTTAACATACAAACAGCACAAAGTCTACACTTCAGTTTTATTAAGGGCAATCTTGTGTTTTACTAATAAGTCACCAAGTAATCACTTGTCCATCTTTTATAAGCAGTCTACAGTCATATTCTATTAAGGTAGTACAGTGTTTGAGTTGGCCATGATGTGTGGTGGAAATACACTGACCTCTGCATGTGAACTCTAAGGTGTTGAGGGCTGCTGTTGATTCAACAGACTCGCTCAGGTCCCAGAGGGTCAAGGGCTCAGTAGATTGGAATCGCTTTATGTGTGCGTGTGTGTGTGTGTGTTTTATTGATTTGCCATCATTTAAGACGGTGACAGATTAAACAAGAGAAGAGACTGCTTTAGACAGGAGGTCACATTTCAGCCGATGAGATCATTTCATCTAGGTGTACTGTGTACATCGATGTCATGTTGCACTGTTGTCTACTGTCAGTCCCTCTGAGAGGACGGTGAATTTCTATTGTCAATAAAATAAATATTGAATCCACTACAAATAACAAACCTGCTGCTGTGTCTGGTCACTCAGCTACCAACATTTCTGCCATAGACAGCAGAATAAGAAGATTACATCCTAATATCTAATTATTTCAACTTTATTTTAGCAACACTGAAAACCAAGTTGTCACTTCATATAACCATAAAATTTCCCTTAAATTCCTTTCACCACAATAACTCCATATTTACCAAACTGGATCTTTAGATCCACAGGTAGAGCTCTTTTTGTGATTCCAAGTACCCATCTGAAAACTAATGAGAGCTGTAAACTCCAAACCTGTGGAACAGCTTACTTCTCTCAATTTGCACCCTTAACTCTGTGGTATCCTTTAAAAAAAATCATATTCAGACAGGGTCATGTTTTTCTGTGTGTGTCTTGATTCAGATGTGTTCATTTTGACTGTGTTTTTAACACCTTAATGTCTTAAAAAGTGCTATATAAATAGACCTTACTTGGACATCAGGAGCGTGCATATATTTACAATATGATAAGATGGCTAGAGTCTGACTTCTGGTGTCACACTACTGACTGAAGAGCAACATGCTCGAAACATTTAATCCACAGAGAGATCAGCGCAGCAGCACTTTTTAACCCTTTGATGCCCGAATTTTATTTTTAATTTAAATGAAAGTATCTGCAAATTACCCTACAAGTTGTCTGCCACAAAGGAAATTAAAAAAAATTCTCTGGTCCATTTATATTTCTGTGATCTATGCTCACATTCCGACTGACTGGGAAGCAGAAAAGACTTGAATCTGCTTTATTTAAGCCACAATGGACTGACTAGCCCAATTGGTTGCACAACAAGAGAGAAATATTGGATTTGTTCACGTTCAGACACCTGCCAACACAAAGGCAATCCAAATAACAGCATGTGTTGTGGGCTGGGTGAGGAGAGAACAGAAATACTATGGTGCCTGTAAGCTTCTTACTAAATCTGGGGATAATATACAGCCAGAAAACTGCGAGACTGATTTCAAGACTACCAAAATTCATAGAGTGAGATCATCACTGCCAGTAGTGACGTTGAGGAGTCCAGTTTAGCGATCTATTACAGCAGTGGAATACACAAAGAGATTGCAGGCACTGGTGGTGAGCTCTACAAAATAATTAGAGCTAAATGGGAGTGTGTGTTCAAATAATATAAGCTCAAATACTCATAAACCAAAACACACACCAGCAGATCAACAGCTTGATTATTGTGAGTGTGAAGATTTTAGTAGATTAAATCAGGCCGCAATATAACTTCCATCTTTATGGGCAGATAAAGAGCAGCTGAGGTATAGCACAGCCTGACAGTGGTCAAGGTCATCTTTCATTATAACTACCGGCAGTGTGAACAGAGGCTTGCATGTACACACGCAAACAGGAATACAGATTTCCACTGCAAACATTCACTCAAAAGGCACAGACAGGGTGAAAAACTGCTCAACAAAGCTCAAGTATATTTTAAATACATGATGTCATGCACATTTACAGTCAGACGTAATAACATAATTTTTACGAAAATATAACAGTGACAAAATACGTGATCAGTGCAGTCTGGGATAACATCATGCAAGCTTCATGACTGGCCAAACCACAGCCAAGCATGCTTCACTGAGAAAGCTGACATGACACAAACATCCAAACACACACATTATCCCAGTTAACCATAAGGAGCAGGCACCACGGGGCACGAGGAGAACGGCACCAGCCACCATAACTACAGCACAAGCAGTACAATAGCACAGCACACTGCATGAGGCACTGGATCCCAGCAAACCTCTCAGGGGAAAATTAGACATACTGATCACTGTGTGGGAGATATATTAAAAGGAAGTAGAATAAAATGCGAAATTAGAGCTTCCACATGACCGCATGATGGGAGAGCGCTGAAGCAGAAAGGCTTTCCACGTTGAGTAACACGTGGGACAGCTGAGAGGTTTGTCTGAGAGGGGGAGGCAGGCTGAGGGGGGGTGGGAGGTCGGGCACGGGCATACACACGGTCACTCACTGGGTGTCGCTTTGGGACGTCATAGACCCCTTCCTTCTGCTGACTGGTGGGAACCTATACAATCGACCAATAGATTCAGAGAACAGCCAAGAGAGCCTGTTACCTCTGGAGTAATTAAGCAATCAAACTTTACACTTCATCACTGTTCCAGCACTGCGACAAACTGGATGCCAACACAAAACCCTGTAACCTGCCTCTCCTGGAATCATATCAATCACTAGTAAAGTGTTTGTGTGTGTGCAGGGATAATCAGAATTAAAATCTTTTGAGTGAGAACTCATTTACTAGGTTAATCAGAAGACTATCAGCCTGTGGCGATGGTCTCTCTTTTTCTCTAATAAAGAATGGATAAGGCAGCTTATCACATCCACAGACATGTAATAACTCACATTGTCACACACATGGAGACATGTAATATTTCTATGTCACACAGTCAGATAGATCTGAGTCTGTGTGTAATGAGAAGAAACAATGAGCAGCGATAGCAAAATGCTGATATGTATGAATCCTGAGATTCCTATGGTTTGATTTCTCCTACAGTGGCACAAGGCTTGAAACAAAGTTTTATTCTTCCCCAGCTGGATGTGCTCTAATCAGAGTGGTAAATGAAAAACAAAAAATAGCACAGAGGAAAAATGTGGATATCTATCTAGCACAGCCTGTCCCATTCTTTCTCCTCCTTTCAATGCCTTGTTTACTTCTTTCACATGTTTATTTCCAGAAGCTGCCATCTTTATTCATACATTAGTTCCTCTGTGGCTGGAGGCTGGCTGAGCCGCACGTTTTTTACGCATGATGTGTGTGTGGGGGTTTGTTTGTACGTGTATTTGTTTGCGTACGATTGTGCACGCGCCAGCGCTCCCTCTATTTCAATCCATTTTATTTAAAGATCAAACGAGAGGCTGGTGATTAATCTTTCTTTCCCCCGCTTTCTTTCATCTTCTTGGGAAAAGAGGGAGGGGAGGCGAGAAAAAGAGGAGGGGTCTTCCTTCCACACACACAACAGGAATAACCTCCACATCCCCTCCACGCGCACCCAACCCTCCCCCTCTTTATCCCTCGGAGGTCTACCCACATCTCTGAGGAGTGCACCCAGAGAAAGCCTCATCTCCCAGGAGTAGCTAGCTTTAGCTATCAGGGCCCTCTGGAGAGTGTTGGCTGGTTGTTTGCCTCAGATTCTTAAAGTCTTTATTTCCTGTATCTACAATTGCTGTTTTCATGTGTAAAAACGGCAATTAATTCTATGAGCAGGCCACAGTATATTTATCCCATTAAAGAGTAATGCAGCTTGTACCGATTGGACAGTAAATAGGTGATTAAATCTCTGTAGCTTAAACGCTTTTAGGAACTCCCTGTCAGCAGATTAACCACAGCAACTGTAGTTTAAAGCTACATAAGACACAAGCAAACAAGATGAGCTTGTGAGTACCTGATAAATGCTCTCTTCTGATTGGTCACGGATGGGCTCGTGTCCCGCCTCAAACACAATGTACTACAACGTCAGCAGCACGGGAAAGAGAGGGGGGAAAAAGAAGCAGGAGGGAAATTGGAAGATAAAGAAACTGAGAGAAAACTGCAGAGGTGATTAGTCAAACAGCATTGTCAATAGGTTCTCATTAAAAAGCAGTTGAAGAAGAGATCCCAGTGACACACGGAGGAGGCTTTAAGCAGTAATAAATACCCAGAGCAACTGAGAAAACAAACACATCTCTCAGCTAATCATGCACCCACAGCTACAGACTCATGAACACACAGATATGAGTGTTTCCTACTGGCTCTTTGTATACATCGGCAAACCCCTAAACAGCGTGTGTTGTGCTTATTACGAAGATCTACCCAAACAGGAGCTGTCTCCCCACAGTGCACACACAGAGGAGCAAGCTGACTGGCTAGAAATGCAGCAGGTGACAGCAGCAATGGGATTGGTCAAGAAGTTACCTGGTAGACAGGGTCCTCCAGATCCTCCTCCAGTATTGTCTGCGGATGAGCGGCGGCAGCAGGAAAGAGAGGGAGAGATCAAACGGGGAGGAGAGAGGAGCAGGGGTGAGAAGACAGAAGAGAGGGAAGAGGCGGAGAGTTAAGCCGGTGAAGAAGAGAGAGTAGGCGGAAAGCACAGCGAGACATAGCGGCTTCCCAGCATTCAGATAATCATTTGGCAATCATCAGAGAGAGAGCGAGTCAGAGAGATAAAGAGAAAATTAAACAGGAGACGTACAGAAGACAGAACAGAGGAAGGTGAATAAGCACAATGGGCAGATGGTACCACTGATGAAACCTGAAAGTGGGTGCTCCGTATGTTACTCTTTGATGTTTTTTAAGTCTTACCTGACTCATCTGTCAAGAGTCTCTCACATGAACCTCATCATACTTATGGCAGATGATTAAGGAAATTGTTTAAAAGACAAAAAAATACCAGAGAGTTGAGAAGAGTACCTGGTACACCGCCTGCTCACACTGCTTGTCTTTTTGGGCCTTCTTCTCCTTCTCCTCTCTCTGCTTTATGTCATAGATAAGCTGGAACAAGTCCCGCAGGTCCAGAATCACAGGTTCAGCCTAGGACGAGGACACATTATCCAACCATTAACACAGGCACACACATTAACAGGAGCACAACACCGATCAGAACTCAAGAACTGCATGTTCATTCTCGTTATGTGATGATTAATTTCCCTGCCCAACTTCACGACAGGAGTTTAAGGCCATGATCAGACTGACATGAACAGTGCGGAAAAAGATACCACCTCATTCACTTTAATGATGCAGAGGCCTCAGGCCAAAACATTTAATCTGTCCCATCTCACTGTCACTTTATCGCACACCCTGCTTTAAATTCTAACAAGTGCACATTTCTCTTCAACTTTTTTAGTAAATTCTGACTTTTAAGACAAGTAAAGGTGATTCTGATCATTACCCTTGCAAGTTTTTCAGATTTGCATTTGCAATTTGACAAACATGCACAGAGAAGAGGCCTCTTCTGTGTCTCTACTGAGCTTTCTTTTTGAGTTATGAAGCTTTACGTGAAGATGTGAGTGAGTTTGACATGACCCATTAAGAGACCCTGATCGCTGACTGTGACCCAAATACAGAACAGCTGTTTCTGGAGTAAAAGGTGGAAGAAAGCACATCAGTCAGGAGTGTAACCAAGAGCAGGTTCTGCTTTTTACCTTCACAGGGTTGTGCACTCTGAGGTAATCCTCCAGACTGAGGCTCTACTGTAATGTCTTGAACCATGTGAGGGACAACACTCACCGGAAACACCCGAATTGTGGTGCCAACTAATTAGATGTGGTTCCCCAAGACTTATCAAAGGGCCACCACTTCTAGACACTAGAGGACATCCAGTATGCATTGCAGGAAAACAAGCACAACTGGTTAGAACAGGACCATAGAGTGATTTAACTTAAAAGGAGAAGTCATCTAGGATAAAAATCAGGTTTCTTTGCATTTTACAGACAGAGTCGTGCAACATTTTAAATGCTCCTTGTTGTTTTAACTTGTAATTCTGTAGATACATAGCAGAGATAAAAAAAAAGAAAGAATAGGCATTAGAAACTGCTGTACGGGATCTGACAAGTTTTCATTCTCAAAGATATATTATACAAAGTGCTCTTCTTTGATTATACTTCAACTTCTGCCTACAGAAAGCTGATCCAGCAGAATACACCCTCATAATTTAAATTGCCCAAATAAAACTGTAACAGAAGAAAGACTAATTGTCTAGCTTTTCAGGAATCTTTTCACAGTATAAAAATAAGAAAAAATGTAATTCAATTTTGTTCATCACAACATCAGTCACTAGTGCTGTGGGATACTGCAGATTTTAGTATTGATCCAATACCAAGTAAACCAAGTGCTGATACCAGTACCGATACTTCTAACCTGTAAAGGCAGCTTATGTTTGGGAGACAGGGTGTGATGACTTAAGATCACGACTAACTCACTCTGATTTTTACGTTCTATAATACTTAGTTATCACAACAAAACACATCTTCCAACTTCTCTAAAGCGTTTTGGGTCAAATTCTGTTGTTTGACATGTTTCATAGTGCGTGTTTGAGGTGTATTGTTTAATTCCCCCAAAATCTATAATTTAACACAATTCAGTGGGCTACTTACTGAAACAAAGTATCAATCCTATTTGGCTAGTATCGATCCGATACCAATACCAGAGTTGGTATCGACACTATCGATATTTGGATTGTTCCGCCCACCTCTAACAGTCGCCTCAAGGCGCTTTATATTGTAAGGTGGACCCTACAATAATACAACAGAGGAAACCTCAACAATCATATGAACCGCTATGAGCAAGTGCTTTGGCGACAGTGGGAAGGATGCCAAAAATTCTGTGCCACTTTTTTTTCTGTGCCACTTCAAGTAATTAAACACTGACCTTGAGGCGTAAGTGACGTAACTCAGAACATGTAAGTATGTTTAAGACATTGCTGTCTGCACACTTTCATGGAAACGGGCAGGGGGTGAACACAGTCACTGCATGATCTATTGCTTCACGCAGCAAAAATTGTAGCCTTGTGTTACCTTTGTACCTCTTTCCTCGAATGAACAAAAGTGGTGACAACAAACCAGCGAGATGACTCACAACCTATAACTACTGTCACAGCGCAATAACAAAGAGTCTTATAGTACAACGGTCTTTCAAACCTAATCAATTATTGACTGGAGCTATGCGGAGTGCAGCCAGAGTTCATAGACTGAATGTTGTGCAAAATGTAGTTCTATTTTAGTGTTGGCTTTCTGCAAGATATTCTGAGCCGAATAAGGCACATGACATACACGCTGGGGTAAACTTCTCTCCCGCTGAGCCAACACTGAAACATACTGTCACTCTTTTAAATTCAGATCCGTTTTACATTTGACAATACGTGCTCTAATCCTCACTTTCTCTTGTGATTTCTCTCCCATTCTTTTTTGCTTTTCCTCGATCAAAACCTCAAGGTATGAAAAGAGAGTGAGCAGAGAAAATCACTGAATTCTAAAAGTGCTAATGCAGAAAACTTTGAGGAGGAGTGGCCTGCTCATAGGACCAGAGAGATGAGATAACCTCAGTTCAGCACAGATGACTAATTCATAGCCTACGGCAAACCTGATAAATGATTCCAACAAAAAGTAACGATAAAGACTTTTACTGCAGACACAGTTCTAATAAAATCTGCCCGGATCAGGATTTTAGAGCAGAAGATGAGTCTCCAATTCTACTAAATATTAATGCAAGAGATTCCCTCTCATTGCCCAAATTAAATTCTGCTGTTGGTTGTTAGCGGAATATCTTGAGGATATTCCTGAACGTATTTCTTGGTGAACTGATTTTTGTTAAACCCGTCTTGTCTAAATTCAATTCAATTATTTCTGTTTTATGAAATTTAGAAAATCGTTAAATCTGGAAGTCATGTTGAAAACCTTTAGGAGAATTTACATGAGGAAGCATGTGCATTAGAAAAATGATCAGAAAAATAAAAATGAGGATGTGCAAAAGTGGACTACTTAGAGAAAAAGACTCATGTTGTTAACTTTGTTTAAATAATTTCTATGGGCTCAAAATAAAGGATTTACTGGCTAAATCTGTTACTGTGTCATAAATTATGTAATACATTAAACTACATTTGAACTCTCTGTAGCCTCTCTACAAATTGAAACCTAGGTTTTGAAACAACAAAGCAAGTCATGCTAATTACAGCTGCAACTTTTTTAGAAAAGTTATAACAATGACTGACAATCCTCTATTCACAATTAGAGTCTTGCTATCTTCACTAAAACTGGCTAAATAAAACATGTCTTTCTTGTCCTGAGACTTTGATTTGAGTGGTAAGCCAATTACTTTTGAACGCGACCTTAAATTGGCCTGTTCGGAACATCTTTAAGTCTTAGTCTTCATGACAACAGAGACACTTTGTTAATTCACATCAAAGCAGTTACTTTCCAATTACAGCCTCGGCCATGAGCTCTGTGCCTCCATCCCTCTTATTGTCTGCTCCACAACTAATAGTCTGAGTGTTAGTGATGGCTGGTTCAAATCCTGAAAATGGAAGTAAAATATAATTATGACCTTTCCTCAGGCACACATCAGGCAAAAGGCAGCGTAGCTGACGGATGAGAACTTACCGTTGTGCTTCACTGTTACGCAGGGTAACATTTTCTGAACAACTGTTTTTTAATGGAAATGCGGCTGCTGTATTTGTGAGTGCAGACTGGCGCATATCTGTCTCAGTCAAAGAGCCACGGTTCATGGCCCTAGGAGGATGGATATGCCATTAGGGCTGGTGACACACACTCAAACCCTCATCGACTCACTATGGGAAATCAATATGGCTACAGAGAGAGCCAGCTGAATCCAGACGAAACAAGCCAGGCGCATACAACAACAGCAGCAACAATCATAAAAGGTCTGAAAGAAGTACTCAATATTATATAGAGTATGCCGACGCAGAACCGAAGCTGCGCTGTTCTGAACACACAAAACCTAAAGCTGCAGATCTACTCGGTAAACAGTTTGTTTGATGAACAGCACAAAGCGACATGAGCTGGTATTCAAGGGTCCTTATCTAAATGTCAAGAGGTTCATGTTACTGAGCAAAGAGCCTGATGAATCATAAATTAACCTAAACACAAAGAGAGCTGGGCTACACAACGTCTTTTTGTGTCGTTGGATGAAAAATCCATAAAATACCATATTGTTATTCATGCGGGGTGAGAGGAAACTATACTGAACATCCTCTGGGCTCTGTTTTCAGTTTTAGAAAATCTAAATCATGACCAACAGTTCAGAAGCGCCAAAGACTATAACTGTGGAGTAGGACTGTAACATCAGCACTGGCCAGCATCACTTATTTACTATGTTTAGATTAGTGCCGTCAGCGTTAATCTCATTAAAATGAGATTAACGCCATAACTGCATTAACGCGGCAAATCTCTATTAGCGAGTTAGTGCTGATCGCCCCGTGCGTGGGGCTGCAAGGCATCAATGCATTAGCGCGGTTAGCTCGTTAACGCGTTAGCGCTGTCCAGCCCCATTCACGTCATTTTAACGAGAGTAACGCTGACAGCACTAGTTTAGATATTTCCAAATGTAAATGTCGGAAGAGCTCAGAAAACGGTGAAGGTGAAAGGTGGGGGTTTGGGTTCATTTTCCGCTTATTGGACTGAATGTACATAAATACTAACCGACTGCGCGGTTTTGATAGCCACAAAGCGGTGGTTCCCTTCTTTTCCGCAGACATAGCCAAAGGCTCGGTGGTCCGTGATGTCCTTGGCAATGTAAGAGATCTCATGGACAGCATGGTGGTGTTGGAGGACCTGTAGCAGGGAATGACATAATGATACAGATGAGCTTTAAATTGTAAAGATGCAAACAAAAAGCCCTGTATTTACATATATATATGTTTTAAAAACACATACGAAGCAAACTGACTCTACGTCTTTATAAAAAGCAAGTTTATTTATTCTTTGTTAAAAATTTAACTGTCTGCTCCAAACCAGTAACTGAAAGTTAGGATGCACTCATCTATACTTCCAAACCATGTGGGAAGCATAATCATCTCATGTAAACCCCCTTAAGTATATACTCACAAAAACACACAGTCACACAGAGACCTTGTATCCTACATTAAATTGTTTCTAGCTCCCCTGCCCTCTCTAGTTTAGTCTGGGTGGGGAGTGCCAAGCTGGCATTGCCTGTGCCCCGTGGCAGATGGCACTGTTTTTCCCGAGGACAGAGGGGGGGATCAGTGACAATCACAGCTCGGCAAGCTGTCGACTTGATCACTTCATCTGTGCCCTCACTCACAACACGCACAAACACAAACACACGCTCACAATTCACAGCATAATATGCAATAGCCCCTCTGTTAGTCACACTAAATGTCTGCTTTGTTGTTATTGTCTATGCCAGATGCATGCTGGGAGCAGAGACACAGAGTCAACATAATAACCCAGTAGCCCTTGAGTGCATGCTAGGGGTTGGAGCCTTATACATCAGAGGCTAAACACACACATCTGCTCTCTCTGAAGCTACTCCAGAAGTGCGACATGGCAGAGTAGAGTGACACTAGTATAACATGGGACCTATGACACACAAACACACACAGAGAGACACCAACCACCTCAGCAGAAACAGATAATCATTCTGTGAGTCATGTCTTCTAAATTTAATAATTGGAGTAATGATTATTATTATCACCTCTGATTGACCTGAAATTGGCAGCTAAGGATGTACACGTGCACACACACACACACGCACACACGCACACACACACACACACACACACACACACACAGCTCATTTGCAGAGGTTATTGAATTATCTCTGGGTGGGTGGTGAGGTGACAAAGAGGGACTCTGATTCAAAGAGAGCAGAGAATTAAATGACTGCATAAATTCAATTGCTTCACTTTGTCTTGGTAGCAAGTAGAGCTTAGACAGTAGAAAAATACATATAATCAATACCAGCTTTTTTAATAAAAAGCTGAAAACGTTCACAGAAGCTTTGGTCTAATTAACGTCACTTTTTTAGCATTAAAAACACATTACTGACCTCCCTTTCTGGTTTTAGGTTCTCTGTGTGCTTGACATCTAAGACAAGTACAAAGGTGAAAGTGCCACCTTTCAGAAGAAAATTTAGTGCAATGGGAAGACGGCTTCCTCCCACCGTCCAAATGGACGGATGGATGGATGGGAAGATTCAATAAGTTACGATAAAGTAGCGGACCTCGGTTCTATCTGACATATCTGCCAAACTCTAATTAGAGTAGAAAAATAAAATCAAAAGTCTACTCACAAAGGTAAAACAAGTTAAGATGCTGGTCGTGGAAGGAAATGACAAATTGAACTTTACACATATAATTTCAAATTTTGTCAAAACACCACTGAAGCTCCAAAACTAATGATGGAAATATTCAACACTTGACTTCACTTCATGAGACATTTATGCCAACAAGACTGTTACTAGCATTTTTATGGTGGTTTGAATGTTTTTGTAGTGTCATGCTAGAGAAAAGGGTAGAAAAAACAATGTGACAATGCTGCTTAAAAGCATTGTTTTCTTATCACAGGTAGTCGTGGATTACTTTGTCCAATCTGCCTGACTCTGCATGGATAAGCTGGATGTGTGTTGCCATAACTGTCCTCTGGTGGATAAATTACATAACGTGTGTTTCTCCCATTTCTTTAATTTTTCATTTTCATTTATCAGTTTATATACTGGCTGATGTCATCTGATGTTTTGAACACGGCCTGCTTTAGTTGGATATAGATGCTCAAACACTGCGTAAAAGCAGGGGTCTGAGGTCTGCTTTTCTCGCTGTTGATGTGCTGTACCAGTCTCACAATCTTTCACACACAGCGTCGGTGTCTCTGAGGGACTGTGGACAGCATGCCCTTCAGCAGTTGCTGGCCACTGAACCAAGATATTCCTTGTTATTCTGGGAGTGAAGAGGGGAAACAGCAGGATACTGTCTCTCTAATATCTCCGATCGTCACATCTCTCTCTCCTGGAGGGGAGACATCATCAAAGGGCCTGTGGAGGCCATCCAGCCTTAAGCCAGTAGGAACAACATGATGGGAGATTAGCAGTTAAACTTAAAGATTTAATTAGCTTTTTTTTTATCAGATTCAAATCAGGTCTGGTTATTTAACCCAGGTTTCTTTATTTCTTGCTTTTATTCTGTAATATACGTGTGTGAAACAATATTTGAACTGAATTAAACATGGAAATAACTCCATTAGCTTGTCTATATAGAATAAAGTAGCACACTTTTTACTTTTTGAGCGTATTTTTTGAGAAAGGCCATTATTTTTCCTTTGTTAGACATTAATCACGGTGAGCTGACTTAGGTTAGCATGGTCTGAGAAGCATGCATGCTGGGTTAACTGGTTAGTCTTGTGTGTGGATCTTTGCGTGTGAGTGATTGTCTGTCTCTCTATGCTAGCCCCGTGATGGACAGGAGTTCTACATCTCACCCTGTAACAGCTTGGGATAGACTTCAGCTATTCCACAACCACCAAGTTGGACAAGTAAATAAATTGGATGCATATAAATCGTGTAACTTTTATTTATGTATTATTTTGTAAATTCAAGTACATTCTGAAGATCTGGCGCCATGTTATCTGGCCGTAGCCATGCACCTGCACTACTCTGTTCATAATAGAATAAAGGCTGAAGCTACAGCAGGAGATTGAAATGATCAGAGCACTTGTGGCCTCTCTGTAGGTGTGTTTAAAAAGTGCTGGCGGCTAATATTAATAAACCAGAGCACAGAGTGTAGCAAACTTTCATTCGCAATCACTGGTTTAAGGTCACTACATCAGAAAACTGTATGAATATGGAATCAAAGAAAGAAGCATGATACTAATTTTAATACTATATACGCACAGTTCATCATGCATTGGCTGAAAATAATGGATCATGTAAGTGAAAATAAAAGGACACAATACTGAGGTGTTTTTTTCCTCAACTAAAGGCACTAAAGATGTGACTATAACCATATTTTATGAAACAGATTTTGAACTACTGTGGCCAAGCTGGGCATAAAAGTAAAACTAATTAGGTTAAGATATGCTCTGACAGACATAACCCCTCTAATATGCTAAAATCAGGCAAGCTATGAATTAACACTGGTGTGTGATTTGTGATGTGTACCCACCCCTGGCCAGTGTCAATCAGATCACATATAATCCTTAATGTGTGTAAGGATTTCCCTTTTTTCTAATCTTTTCCTAAAGTACTTTTTAAGATTAAAGCATAAACCTACATGTCTTTTTCTATTTTTTGCATTTGATTAAAAAATAAAAAGCAGCGTCCTGTGCCCACCTCTACACTGTAGATCAAGAGAGTCCACTGTTTTAAATAAAAAGAGTTTCTGTTAGATGAAAAATAATTGCATACTTGGAATTTCAGAAATTTTGATTATTACTGGTGGTTTATATTTCTTTTAAATATTTGTTTTTAATCAGCTACATTTATTATGGGAACTTCATATTAAACATTAAATTGATTTAAAAAGCACATCTGCAGTGATTCTTTAAAGTTTTGGAAAAGCATCTGAACATTAAACATAAAATAAATGTATTTAAATTTTAATTGTAGAAGGAAAAGAGGGATGATGATGATATAACAAATGTGATTTTCTGTCTGAATGCTTGTTTTGAATAGATTCATTGTGACATTTATAAATAGGAGCCCACTCGTAGAATATATTATTATGTAAATGTAGTATATGTTTAGCACAAATGTAGGGTATTTGTGCCAAACACAAAGACAAATCAGTACAGAAGGATGGTGGATGCGTGATATAGCTGGTGGCATATCAATGACAGCTTAGAGCACGAGTCCAGTTTATTTTCAACCCGGCTTATTTTCCATTGTGGCTCCTGCTGAGTCTCCTGCTAAGTTTGCATTTGTGTACAATGAATGCATGAGTGAGGATAACATGCACTCTTGTTTGGCCTCATTCTTAATGGTGAATTAGTTTGTAGTTACGTTGTGACCACCTGGCTTCTCTCCAACAAGAAGTCAAGGACCATTTACGCAGACAATGTTCAACTTCCACGTGAAAGAGTCTGGATGTGAAAAGGCTGAGTTGTGTTTGACAAACAGATGCCAGAGCTGTTGGAAAATAGAGTTCAGGGACACAGAAATTGCTTTATCAGACCTGTTCGCTCTTTAACCACACTGACAAGGTTTTAAGGCAACAGTGGGGGAAGATGGTTGCATACCATGTTTAAAGATGTTCGTGATAAACATCAGAGCAACAGATCTGTTTGATTTCTTAGGCACAGTCTGACCTAAAACTTGTTCTAACCCTCTGCCTTCCAATGTAAAATGGGCCAAGTTCGAATTCCAATTGGTGCTCACAACCTTCCTGGTGTTTTGCCAATGGAGCAGTTTTCTTACCGCATGCTTAAAAATGATCGAATACCAGCTTAAGTTTGGTGACATTACAAGGCTATAGGTCTATTTTCGTATTAAAACCTAAAAAGAATTTGTCACACATCAGTCAGCACATGTTCATAGATAGTTGGGATTTAATACAAATTTTGATGTCAAAAATCACATTCCTGTATCCCCTGTTTGCCACCTTTTCTCATCCTTAGTGTAAAACGATTAATGATGAAACTTGTTCATTGAAAACAAGCACTGCTTAATTCACAGCCACCCCCCCCCCCAAGGCTCATCCTATGGCCTTCTCTAATTTCAGCCCCTTTCATTCCTCTAGCCCCACAGACCAAATAATACTATAAATTGGGTAGGTCCATTCAGTGACAATATATATGATAAGACCCAAATGAAATTTATTGAATTGTCTGGACGCCAGTTGTTTGTAGTCTTTTCTACTGGCAGAAAAGTTGATCTTTCTGATCTCTCTGAGGAGCAGCGTGCAAACTAACCATTTCACCAATTCACTTATGCTAGTTCTTCATCTGCCTTGGTATTGTCTCCTTTCTGAGACTTGGCCAAAGGGGTTGAAGAGTGTAGTAATGCACAAGTGTCTCTATGTATATGCACATGTGTGTGTTTTAAGAGAGAGGCTGACAGGAAGAGAGGCATACTGGCCTGCCCTCTGTTAGATTAATGTCTCCCCTCTTATTCTCCTCCATCTCAAGCACCACCTCCCTCCATCCTGCACGACCTTCCCTACTCCAAGAGAGAGGCCATCCATCCATTCGTTCACCCATACATCCATCCGCCCATCTGGCTGACTGATGCACAGGAGGGGAATGAGACTGTCAAGATCCCTGAACCTCAGCAGAGTCATTCTCTCTTTCTTCCCGTCTCCCTCTCTCCCTCCCTCCTTTGCCATTAGGAGTGGTTGAAGGGCTGATAGTAAGGACAGCATATCTCTATAGTTAATATTAATGTGCAGAGACAGAGGACAAGGTCTCCCTGTAGAAAGCTTTACTTTGACATATGCTTACTGATTCTCCACCTATCCCTCTAACTCTGTTTCAGTCTGCTTCTGCTCCTCAATCACGCGCTTCCTCTATTTATCTTTTTCACATCCTTTTTTCCCCTCCTCCTTCCCCTTGGACTTTTCTTGCTTCTTCTCCTCCCAACTCTAGCTCTCTACTTCTGCATCTATCACTCACTTTTCTATTTAGCTCTTGTTATCCTTCAGTGTCTAAATTTTGAGCCATCAAGAAGAGAAATACGATAAGGATTATGAGTGTTATAAGAAGAGGTACAAAGGATTGAATGTGCTTGTATTCAACATGGCTGCCACGTGGGTGGTCGTTGTTTACTGAGTCTTGCCTGTCTAATACAAGGTACTTTTGAATCACTGCTGGGTACACACACATACAGTGTCAGCTCATTCCGGCTCCCGACAAAGTGTAAATCTTAGGCTTACCGTGTCAACCACTAAAGCTCGGTATGGAGCGGCGAGCTTTATATTCTATCTAAACCAGTCTACATTCACAATCAGACACACTCAGAGCCAGACAGTGAAACAGACAGCTCACGCTGCATATGTACACATCAAAAAACAGTTGCTGTATTATGTTTAAAAAATAAGCCTGGTTTTCTGGAGCTGCCAAGATGAATATAAAAACAAACATATGGAAAGAATTGCTGCAGCACAACTCAGCCAAACACCTCAAAATAACAACATTAATTCGTTGGGACAGATTTTTACACGTTTATAGAATTTAACTCTTTTCCCACATAAAGGCAATATTTGATGACTTCCTCTGGACCCCTAACGAAAACATAAACAAATATCAAAAAGGATTTGGTTTGACAACCACTGCAATATTTTCCCTGTTTTTCCAAGGGCAGACACCACCCTCATTAACTTCTGATGCAATATGAGAGAAACTTCTTTAAGGGTTACTCCTAGTAGGCTTTCAAGGGGTAAAGAGTTAACAGGGAAGTAATTCTACATTATTAGACACAGAAAACAGGGGGGAAAGGCCACTTTAGTCACCAGAGGACCCATATTCTTGGAAAGGTAGATATTATAGTTCTTGATTAAGGATACAATGACAGGTACCACAGGTTTGAGCCTAAATAACACCAATCAAATAATCCTAAACAAGCCTGGTCATTTTCCCTGATTTACAAACATATTTACTCTGCAATGGCATTTAAAGAACCCTGTGTAGGGTATAGGCATTACCTATTACCATAGATGGAATATGGTAGTCATGATTATAATAACCTGCAACTATGTTTTTGTATGCACTTCTAAGGAATCCGTTATGTGCAACGGCCTTGTTTCTACAGTAGGAGTAGTAGATTTGAGCTGGGAAGCAAGAGGAAGGAAGGTCCATTAAATTTGTTCCAATGCAAACCTCCACTAGAAGCCACTAAATCCTACACACTGGCCTTTCTATAACTACATTAATCTTCTTCTCTACTTGCGTCTGCTTCAAATATATCTACGGGTTGTGGGTACTTGCCAGTAAATTCAATATTACACTTCTTGTTTTATTGCTTTTTTGCATGGATTTAAGTAAGTCTTAGATCTTATCAGTCACTGGGAAAGACGCCTAGCAAATTAAGTGATAGAGGGAGAGTCAGGGTCAGTTAACAGACAGTAAACAGAGCTAAAAAATGAACCAGGAGATTGACTGAAAACAGTCGATGAAGTCTGGACAGATCATATCGGTTAACCAAAGAAGAAGCCATGTAAGATGGAAAATGCCTAATCCTGGGGCATAATATAAAACCAGTGTAGTTGCTGTTTGCACACAGGAAGACAATGGGACGGCCATGTTCTCTCATCTACTGAGGCCTTGTTCTCAGGGTTTCAATTAGGGCCTCCTGATTTCCCCAGGGGCCCCTCCCTCTTATGGAGATGCCTCATTAATAGATGAAACACAAGTGCACGGACACACAAACACACACACAAACACAGACCCACAAGTAAAGAGAATCAAATTTGCTTCAGAACTTACCCCTGACTTCTCATCAAAGATTTTGATCCCTCCAAAGGAAACGGTCAGGAACACCTTCTGTTTGTGTTCTCCTTTAGACCGTGCTGCTGCAGCTATTCCCTGAGGATGCACACACACAGACACACACAGAAACACAATCCATACAACCATGTCAGAAGCAGTATAGAAATGTACATGCAGTTGCCAACAACTGTCAATAAAGGTAATAACTATGTGTTTGAAAAATCAGCAATGAGTTTCATATACTGGCATCGATTTATAATCTTTAAATTATTTGTGGCAGGTTTCTCATTTATTCTCATCCAACAAACAACATTTTACTATATTGTGTACCAGGGCACCATGCAATCTTTCTACAAAACGACTAGGGATGATGTGAAAGGAGATCGATATCAATTACTAGTTTATTGAGAATGTCAGAAATGTTACGATAGTTTTTATTTAATAATAAAAAGTTGCTTTGCTTAAAAATAGCTTGCTGCTGAATGGAACAACTTAATTTGTATAACTTGTTTAAAAGCTTTGGGAACGTGCTTTTAACACAGTACAACTGCTACGATGCACTCAGCATACAGTCAAACGACATACTGATTATTTATAGCTGTAAGTATATGTAAAGGTTTAAGTTTCTCTCCATTTTCACCTCGTCACCATTTGCATAGGCGAGTCACAAAAAGAAGACAGGAGAGAAGCAGGATCACAAAAACGACAGATTCCGGATAGAAAAGGGAGGAGCAGTATGAAAGAAAAGGTGGAGAGATCAGAGAAAAGGAGTTGATGGATTTTCTGTCTGAATAAATGAGGAGGAGGGAAGCTGTTTGATCAATGAGCTGTCGGTCCTCTTCTCACCCTTACGGGTCTCCGCTGGATAGAGTTTTCACTACACGTAAACAAAGCGTAAATGTAATTTTCTCAATTCAAATATCTCCTGCAATATGATTTAAAGGGAAATTAATAATGAATGAGGCACTCTTCACTCCGACAGCGTTTTCAAACTCTTTCAGCATACATTTGTAGAGACAAGATGCAAAATCTAGGTTTTGTTTAAAGATGCGACTTCTTGGGGGAAAATTTCAACATTTTTTATGTAACAGAATTTCAAAGCCTGTTTTTCATAATTCTGCAATCAATTATTTCAGAAAACAAGGTCGTTCATTAGGCCTGAATAGAAAATGGCCTATTTTTCTTCATCTTCATCCTCACTCATGTCTCTCTTTCACCTATCATCCAAATGATTCCCCTCCGATATGCCATCTCCTCACTGCTAACTGCCCCATCTGTCTACCCCTCCCTCTAATTGTTTCTGTCCTTGCAAATGAGACATTCATCCCAATCCCCTTCTCATCCATATGGCTAACCTCCTTTACTTCCTCTTGCACTGATCATCGTCATCCCTATAAATTATAACAACCCCATTTTCTATCCTTCCTATTCAACTTCTCGCTTATAGCAATTTGCATAGAAAGACGGCAACAAACTCTATATGCATGCGCACACCGTCAAAAGCGCAGTAATGCTATGATGAACAAAACATGCATATTTAAATGTTGAACTTCAGAATATGCATGAAGCTGGCAACTGATGTCTTTTGTGGGTCACAGAACTTCATGCAGCTGCAGGCTGTAATATAACATTAATTCTGGGTGTTGACGTCCTCTGGTTTTTTTTAATTGCTCACAACTACCATGGAAAGTTTGTTTTAACAGCGAGTTTAAAATGGTACAATTAATTTGTAATTTGAGACAGATCAAGAGGAGGAGAAATACTCTTCTTACCTTGAGCTTCATCATCGAGTCCTGGCAGAGTTTGTCTCCACGGGCGGCGGTAACCTCGTCCAGGCCAATGAGCTTGGCCTTGTAGCGGACGCCATCGCCCTTAAAACGCCTGATGAGAGCTGTCTCGCTGCGATCCTGCCCTGCAGACACACATACACACTCACTTTGCAGTCTACAGTACATCTTCAAGTCAAGGACCTCAATCTACCTCAGACCAGTGCTATTACCTCAGGATCATCAATCACACAAACCCCAGAATACTTCAACAGTAAAAAAAAAACCAAAAACCCAACTATGGTATAGTTTAAAGCCACTAATGTCCAAAACTAACTCAGATCACATGCACTGAACTGTGGTATCATATGAATGATAATAGGCAGTACACTCATTGACGCTCAGTGTTTGGCAGGATTAGACGAAACTCTGACTGTTCACATCTTTGGCCATTTCTCATACAAAATAATGGTGTGACATTTCCTCCTTATCTCCCCCGTCTCCAGCAGTCCCTCGTCTCTTCTCACTTGCTACTGTGTACCAGATTGCCAGCACTGTGCGCATGTATTAGTAAGTGTCAGCGATGGCGTGCATGTGTTGACCTTGCTCTTGTCCAGGAAGTCTCTGTGTTATCTCCTCCAAACCTCTTTACACACAATACAGAGCACAGAGAGAGGGAGAGAGAACAGTTACTCATAAGGACAAACTCTTTTGTGTCATACTCTCTCATTCTTTCTTCCTCTCAGTTTCTATTTCTCTGACCTGCAGCGTGCACGCACACACCAAAAGTTGTACAGACAAACACCAGAGCATCTCTGCATGTCTCCGTGTTCTGTTTTTGAGTGTGTATATGCGAGACTTTGAGTGTGATTCTGAGAGAGAGGCATAATGATAATGCAGCATATTCAGATAATATATTGAGGCATTAGTTCTGTACTCTATAAGAGCGTGACTCTTGGAAGGTCACAGCCGGAGTGATGGAGAGGTCCCACTCCTCCTTTCGTCTTTCTTTCACACTCCCTCCATTCACACCGAGTCCCTACAGCGTTGCAGCATAAGAGAAATGTGCCCTTTTAAGACCATCACGTTACGTGCAGCTATTGAATCATTTTTGTGCAACACAAACCTCCCACGACTTCGTTTGTGTGCCCTGACGCGAAAACAAGCAAACACAAGTATTTTTTTAATCTGCATTTGAATCATTGAATCAAATGATTTAACAAGTTGGAAAGTATTTGAGGACAATTCAATATAAGGCCTCGTTATCACACGATGGTCGGTTAGCCTTTGTATTAATAACCCTGCTTTGTTAAAACCGCAAATAGAAACGTCCAAGGCTGCCACAGATTATTTTGTGAATATTGATTTGTCTAAGAAGCTTCATCCTATGGGAAGAAAAACTTGACAAACTACAAGAAAGGAAAAAAAAACCACTTACACCCTATTTTCCATTGATAAAAAAATAACATACACATAGAGAGAGACACACTCAAAGGCTGCAGATGAACTCATACCTCTGAATCATTGAACAGACACACTCAGTCACACTGCTACTTGGAGTAAATCACGACTGTCTGTCTCAAAGTCCTAAGAGACAAAAGAGCTGAAGAATATCAGTCCTTATTTTGGGGAGAGTAAGAGAGAGCAGCTCTTTCTACTGTGTCACGTCTCAGCATATCTGAGATCAAAGTAAGTGACTAAACCTCTGCAGGACTGTGTTGTTCAACAAGGAGATGTTCATTTTGGAGACATTTAAATATTGCCTTCATTAAATATGAAACGATGCTGTAAAACAAGCGTGCACACACACACACTCATATAAGTATGTTGACAATAATACTCTGGTAGTGTGATGGCAACCCCCAGATTTCCACACCCACTAGTTCCACATCATCTCTTCTCACTGTGACAATGACATGAAACATACTGCATGAGCTGTCTGTCAGGAAACATTCACAAAAAAAATCGCTCCAGATCTCAAAAAGTGTCAAAAACCTTTCTTCACTGTGCAACAAACTAACATCTCTCTGAAGCTGAGGTTTGATTAATACAGTTATTTTTTTAGAGGGGAAAAATAACAAACAGTGAAATAAAACACATTCTTTTTACTACAGGACTAATTACTTGATCACAACTGCCCCATGAACAAACAATACGATTTATTTTCAATTCAGCGAATAAACTGAATAATATGCAAACACTGCAACTTTTACAGACTGACATGCTCTAACAAGGCCCGAGACCCTTGTACTTGTTTGTGTCGTGATTCTGGTCACAGGTTCAGATTTGTAACACCTCTAATCCAAACCTTCAATTCCAGTAAGCAAAAGCGTTTGCACTGGTAGCTAAACCAAGTACACCAGGCTGAATGTGAAATCCATAAAGCGCAATTTAGAAAACATCCACAATATTCCCACGTCATGGCATGTTCACAAAAATCACTGAATCCTAAAAAAATGTAGCATGTGTGTTCCTGACAGAGAAAGTGGGGTCAAGTTCAAGAATATAAATCACTTATCAAAGAAAAAGGTGGCACTGCAGCAAAAGCTCGAGTTTAAGTATTCCTCTATGTAATCTCTGAGTAGATTTAATGAAGAGCCGGAACAAGCTCATAGTGAATATTAAGATGATTTAGCCAATTTTAAAGCCCTTAAAGGAAAAATAAAAAGGGGTTCAGATGAGTTTTATATCATACAATTAGAGCAACTTTATTCATTTAATTATAAACCAAATAAACTTGATTTTAATGTTTCAGTGAGAGGATTAGTGAAAAACACAATTTGGTATTTTATCTTAATTTAGACTGTTTTGTCAGATACTGTATCATTTGATTGTACTTTTTATGCCCTTCTGAGGATCCATTTGTTCATTGTTATAGCAGTCCACACTGTGTAGGACTTCATCTGTGTGTATTTATATGTATGAGAGTTAAATAACACTGGTTGTGTCCAGATGACTCTGTCTCACTGGAACAGTGATTTTCATTTGAGTTTGACATTTAAGACATGCTTGCTCCATCTGCACCCATCACCATTACTGCTGCTATACTTAGCTCACAATGAAAGGACGAGTGAGAGAGTGAGATAGACAGAGAGTGAGAGTGAGAGAGAGAAGTTGAAATAAAGTCAAGATGGGAAAAAAGAAAGGAAAAGGTAGAGAGGGGTCCAAGGTTACCACTCCTGCTGAGTGGTTTATAATATTACCTTTTGGGAGCATGTTCCATGAAAGACCTCCCTCTGTGTGTGTGTGTGTGTGTGTGTGTGCCTGTCTGTGTGTGTGTGTGTGTGTCAGTCATTGGGGGAAGCATTCAGTCTGCTGTAATTAAATGTCCGCTGTTTCTGTGACCCTGCTGAGCTTCAAACACAACTAATGAAAGAATCTTCCATTTCATCTGTCACGGCTGCTCCACAGACACACAAACGCAAACTTGTGTGCCTGCCTCACACTCGCACACAAAGCACTTACAGACTCACGCTCACACGCATCCCACCTACCATACCATAACACTAATGAAAGAAGCTTTTGGAACATCAATCGCGGCTGCTCCACAGGTCAACAAACACACAAAAACATGCAATCTTTTCTCAGATCTGTGCAAACTACACTGCAGTGCTACGCTGCTATCGCAATATCTGGAATTCAAGTTTTTACGCTACAGTCAAGCGCTGCGTATCGAGTGTACGTGTGTGTTTGCGGTAGCACTTGGTATGCAGGGTTTGTTCATAACTGTCTGTCTGAAGCAACAAGCAGAGAGGGAGGGAAGGACATAAAGCGAAGAGCAAAGGATGGAAAAACGTGATGGATGGATGAATGAGCGAAGCCTCCATTGGATAAATGTCAGTCAGGATTAGAGCGATATGACAGGCAGAACCTCCCTGACTCACACACACACACACACACACACACAAACTTTCACATGTGATAGATGGCAGGTGACTGCTGGTACAGTGCGTCTAGCCCTTCAGGAAAGCCCCTAGCATCGCCCCTGGCAACTGTAACCTTTCGCCTCCTGTGCGCCCGTCCATCCCCGTCTTCCCCCTTTTCGCCTCTTCTCCCAACCCTTCTTAGTCTCTGCGTAATTCCACCTCTTTACATGGGTGACATATTGAAATCTTATTTACTTAAATATTTGCCAATGTCTTTCTTCCTGGCAAATCAGGTTATTACTGATTTTTTTGTAGTTTTGGCTGTCACTCATTTCAATTATGATGACATTTTACTTACCAGAGCGACTGTCTGGATTTAGAAATCATAGCTAGAATGAAGTCTGACAGGTCCAAGACAACACGGATCATCTACTGTAATAACAACACCATATAAACCCAATGCAATGCACCAAAATCATGATACTGAATCCTCATCAGACAAACTGTGCGCAATCAAAGCTTCTTAAGTGCGCACGGTCTAAGTGGACCACAGCCAGATTACCTGTGGGTTTGTTTACAAGTTGCCTAACTGTCTGTCTTCTAGGTAATTCTCACTTTATCAAGCTGTATCAAATGTATGTTAGACTTACAGATTGATGCAGATACATTCTCATGTATCCAGGCCTGTCACAGATGTATGCAGGGCTCTCCTCAGCAGTGCAGATTTTCATTCAAAAACATTCTGATCATCCAGGCTTAAGGCTGGCAATGAGTGTATAGGTTTTAAGTGTAAGGCCAATAAGGCATAACAGTCTAGTTCATTAATTTCATTAGACGTTAGAGACAGAGGCTATTAGTTTGAGACCACTGAGTAAGAATATGGGAGAGATGCGGCACCTCAATAGCAAAGAAAAGTGAACTCAAGACTTTGTTTGATTTCTTGCTGTAAGAGGAGGTTTTTTTGGGCATCATGTCATCTGATATTCCTCGGAAATTAATTAGCTACACAAATGTTGTTGCCACTATCACCCATTTACTTTCATAAGGCCAGCATTGTTTGCAGTGGCTGGTAAAGTGTGGAGCTTGATTCACTGTGCTCCAGATGAAGAAGCACCCAGAGGCTCTTAACTGCAGCTGGGATGGTTCCCAACAAACACTCAACAGCACATGAGGGAACCTGGCAGTTACTCTCCAATTAATCCTGCTTCTAAACCCTGCCGCTGAATGTCTGTGTGCGTTTGTGTCAACACGTGTGGGGTTTTGTGCTTTTCTTACCTATC